GATATGGACAGTGGTGACACACAACACCACAAATGTACCTAACACTCCTGAACTGTATGCTTAGCATGGGTAAATGGTAAACTTCATTATGTGCATTTTCCCAAATTAAATTTTTATTAAAAAGTGCCTGTTGCTATCACATCCCTTGAAATAATGTATCTTACTTTTCAGTTTTATGTAATGATATTTTAATGTCATTATGATTAATAACTGACATTTGTATTTACATGCTTTAAAAGAAATTTGTAGCATCAGAATGGGGAAAATATTTGGAGAGATTGGTGGATACCTAAAAATTCCAGTTATGGTAGGCAGCTTCAGAAATGGCTTCCAAGTATACCCTCCACACCATCCTGATATTCATGTTCTATACCATCCCCTCCCCTTCAGTGTGGGCTGGACATGGAGGTTCTTAATAAATAAATTGTGGCAAAAGTGATGGAAAGTCATTCCTAAGAATAGGTAGGAAGTCATCTAAGAATAGGTAATTGTGACTTTATTCTTGTTCTCATTCATCATATTCTCTCTCTCTCCCCATCCCTGCCCTCCAACCCCACTCCTCACACCCTCACTCTGATGAAATCAACTGTAATGTTTTTAATTATCTGATGAATAAGGCCCTAGGGAAAAAACTGAGAGAGGCGTCGGGCCAGGAGTCAACCAAGAATTAAGACCTTCAGCTGAAAGCCTGGGAAGAAATAAATCCTGCCCACGATCACATGAATAATGTGGAAAGTGGATCCTTTCTCAGTAGACCCTTGATATGATGCCCTCGTCAACATCTTGGTCAAATTCTTATTAGAGACCTGAGAACCAGAGGATGTAGTCACACCAAACCCAGATTCCTAACCCATCTGAAGTGCGAGGTTGTTTTATAAACCATTAAATTTCAGGAGGGTTTGTCACATCAAAATAGAAGATAAGTAGATGACAAATGCTACTGAGTGAGATAGAAATAAAAGTGATTAAGGATTATGAGAAAGTTCAAAGAAGGCCATCTATAATCTCCAAGTGCAAGAAGACGGACAGAAATAAGTCTCTAAATGTACAACTCAGTGTGTTCTTGAAGTTAGAAATTATTGACATTCAGAATTGCATTTTCTGAGGAAAGCAACTAGGATTTATTTTAAACACATTTTTGTGATAGTTTCTAGTGTCAACATGAACAGCCTGCACTTTTCCTTCCTCAGAGAAAACTAGCTCTCAATTTAGCTTATAAAAATAGAGATTATGTTTTACATCTACACATAGCATGTGTGTTTAGGTTTTTGAAGCTTGTGATGGGAAAGAATGGAGAGGATTGAAGGAATTTTCTCAGTCATTACTAGAGATACACTTTCAGATAATTATTCCTTCTCCAGTTTCAGAGTGGACACCAGGTTCGTGGAGCAATGTTTGAACTGCATGAATTATAGTCCTGGAATCCTACAGTCAGAAAATCCCATCCTCGCTAAATTGCCAGAAACCTACATTGCTCAACCACGTAACATGATTAACCAGTTCCATTACTCTTCAGTGCCACTAAAAACTCTGTAAATCTCTAGCTGAGTTGTTTATCTCCTCTGGGTTTTCCAATCTTGGTTTGACTAGCCAACTTCACTGATGAGTAGGCAAAGCTTCCTACTTTACTTTGAAATGCGAGCCATGGTAGATATAAACATTTGAAAGTGGCAAAACAATGTATTTCACTAGGTTCAGTGGCCAATCAGTAGTTTAGAATCCATGATCTAACTACTTAGTGATTAGGGAACATCTCCATCTGAATATACTTCCTAATCTCTGCTTTCCTAGCGTGGATATTAGGCAAGTTATTTTACTTGCTTTGTAGTATAAGCTGCATATGTAATTACTCAGATGGCACGGATCCAATTCTGTCAACATTCCTCCTATATATAGCACATTTCAAAAAAAGATAAGTGAATCAGTATATGAGTAAACAATATTGCGTATCTCTGTTGTTCAAAACTGGTACACGTATTAACATTTAAATGGAAATCAAGTGAAATTGAATATTTAATTCCTCAGTCACTCTGAACAAACCTTAAGAGCTCAGTAGCCATGTAAATCTAGTGGGTACCAAATTGGAAAGTCCACACAGAGAACTTTTTCATAATCAGAGTTCTATTGTACAAAGCTTCTTTTCTTTAGACGTTATCTTCTTTGATTTTCCCACCTTGAGAATGAAGGTGAAATTCCCTGCCTACCTCACAATATAGATATGATGATCAAATGTAATAGCATATAAAAAAGCTCTTTATACATATAAGGACATATTAATATAATCAATACTTTTATTGTTTTGCCTTCTTTATAAAAATCAAAATATGAAAATCCTGGATGAATTTATAAGACTATTCTCAGAGGTAAATATGGTAGCTTATACAAAAGTATTTGCCAACTATCATGCTTCATACATATACTCATACATGACTAATTCTTAATATTTTTAAAATCATATGATCCATGCAATTTTTACTTCATTTTCTAAGTAAACATACTTTGTCTATAGGGTGAAAGCTTCTTTGTTTGTTTCTAATTTTATCGATCAGCATCAAATAACATAGTTGTTTACCAGAAATGAAAGTATGATAGGTCCTTTCTAATATTGTAACCACTTGACAATACACTAGTAATTACAAATTATCAATATGAATTATAATTCTGAAATTAAAGAACAATATAACGTCACAAGGAGTAAGAAATATGCAAAATGTACAGAATCGAACAGTTGTAATTTCTTTTCACTGGAGACTTGGTGTAAGTCAATGGAATGATCACAAAATCATGCTACCCTGTAACTTATTGGAAGATTTCCTTTTTCATTTTGTTTAGATACATGGAAATCCCCCCCTCTGTTATCTAGCTTCTAGCAATCGTGTCTCTTTGACAGGTGCTGTAGGAGTAGTAGGGTTTTTTTCTTCTTACACTCAACTCAGACTAGAACTGCTTTGCCCTCTTCATTGCCATACGAAAGACATTATGCCTGAAAGTTACAAACCACTAATAAGTCTAAATTAATGCCTCTTTTTCATAATTTAGTTCCATACCATAAATCCCTCTTCTCATTACCCTGCCAACATTTTGTAATTGTTAAGAGTTTGGAGAGAAAATCTCGAGTCACACCAAAATGTCAGAATGAAGTGTTTTTCCAATAACATGCATATAGGAACTATTAAGAAAAAATGTTAAACCTACGGCTGTGACAAAAACTGTTTCACTCAAAAATTAACATCAATTAACATTTGTAAATTATATTTTTATGTTTAGTACTTCATATAAAAGCAGCTGGTCATTGTGATGATAATATAATATTGTTACATTAATAATATCAATAAATTACATGACATACAATAATAATTACATTAGTACATTATTGGTAGATTTATAGCCTGTTTTCTTTTAAAAGTTGGTTATTCTAGCAAATCAGAAAAATGATTATTAGAGATTCAAATATAACTTAAAAATTACTGAAAATGTTTCATATTTAAACATTATATGAATATATAATTAGTTAATTTACGCATAACTAAATTTATACATGTTTTATAAATTTATAGAAATGTACAGAAATGCATACATTTGCATAATACATGGACCTAAAATAATTGTATGTATATGTACCTACTTCAGTTTCAAAGTAAAATGGGCACAAAGTCTGTATATCCCCAAATAATGAGATACATAGGTATATTTATAACAACATATGCTCAAAATATGAGGAAAACTACAAAGCTGCAATGAATAAAATTGAAGAAGAACTAAAAAAATTGAAATATATTTCACTTTCCTTGATAGGAAGACCCAATATTGTCAAGATGGTAGTTTTTCTAAATTGATCTGTAGACTTACTATCATCCCAATAAAAAATCACAGAAAGTTACTTTGTAAATATTGATAAACTGATTCTAAGTTTATATGAAGAGGCAAAAGACTCAAAATAGTCAACATAATATTGAAGAAAAACAAAGTTAGAGATCTGAAACTATCCAATATTAAAATTTTCTATAAACCTAAAGTTATCTGGACAGCATGGTGCTGGCAAAGAATAAACATACAGGTCAATGAAATGGAATAAACAGGCCTAAAATAGATGCACATAAATTTAGTCAACAGGTCTTCGACAAAGGAGGAAAGACATTGCAGATAGTCTTCAACAAATGATGTCAGAACAACTGGATATCCACATGCAAAAAAAAACCCATACACTGTTTACCAAAATTAACTCAAAAGACAAACTATAAACTCCTAGATGATATCGTAGGAGAAAATAGAGATGACCCTGGTTCACTAACCTAGACACTGAAAAGTGTTGCCTCACTTTTTAGATATGTTTTATCACTTTTTAGATGCAATGTAATCATAATCCATGATAGAACGGATAAACTGCAATTCATTAAAATTAAACATTTCTGTTCTGTCAAGGACTCTTTGAAGAAAATAAAAAGAGAAGCCAGAGACTAGGAGATAATATTTGTTACCCAAAATATTCAGAGGAAGAATTCTCAGACATCAACATTAGGAAAACCAACAATAGGACATGCAGATGGGAAATATACATGACAAGATGCTCCACTTTATACAGTATCTGAGAAACATTAATTAAAACAACAAGATGCCTCTATGGATCTATTACAACAGCCAAAATCCAGAACACTGATAGCCCCAAATGGTGATAAAGGTGTGTGAAACAGGAACTCTCATTTATTGCTGGTGGGAAGGCAAAGTGGTGTAGACACGTTGGAAGACAGTTTCATAGTTTCTTACAAAAATAAACAGAGTCTTACTATATGACCTATTAGTCTTTCTCCTTCGTATTTCCCAAATGAGTTAAAAATTTACATTAACACAAAACCTACACAAAAATGTTCATAAGAGCTTTATTCAAAATTGCCAAAACTTGGAAGCAATTAAAGTGACTTTCAGTACTTGAATGGATAAGCAATCTGTGGTACATCCTTCTGTATCATGGAAGATAATTCAGCACTAATAAGAAATTAACTCTACCACTTCCACAGGTCCTCCCTGAGGCAGTGAGGCTAGGATTTGGTAGCTGGAGCTGAGAGAAGACCCTTGATGGCATCTTTGCCCTGGGACTCTGCCAGTGGCAACTATCACTCAAGGGGCAGAGACGATTCTGTGACTTCTTACTTAACTTTGTGCCTTTCTTTTATTATTCTAACATAGAAAAAAATAAAAAATAAATTAACTAAAAAGGCATAAAAAGGCATAAAGGAAGATGAATTACTAAGTGAAAAAAGTCAGTCTGAAAAAGGCACAAATTATGTGAATGTAACCAAAAGACATTCTAGAAACAGCCAATCCATGGAGATAATAAAAACACACGATTGCCAAGGATTAGAGAGAAAGAGGGATAAATAGGCAGAACACAGAGAATTCTCAGAGAAGCGAAACTATAGTTATCTGTGATACAGTAACTGTGGATAATGTCATTGTAAATTATATATATTTTATATATATATATTTAAATTATATATATTTAAAATTTGTATATTTAAATATACAAAATGAACACCAACAGTGAACCCTATTGTAAACTACAGACTTTGAGTGATAATGATTGTCAGTGTAGATTCATTAGTTGTAACAAATATAACACAGGGTGAGGGGATGCTGAAAATGAAGAAAAATATGCATGTATGGGCCATAAGTGATAGGGACAATCGCCATGCCATTTGATCAATTTTATTGTGAACCCAAAACTGCTTTAAATAACAAAGTTACTAAAATAAACAAAAAACAACTGACCCATTTCATACATTATAATATGTACTTACATATGATTATAAGTACATAAACTGATTTTTTTGTAAGTGGTTTTATAAATACACATAAAATGTACATACACTTTAATTGGCAAAATAAAATATGAACACAAATGCTATAGAAAAATGTGAAAGCTTTTCAGAAAGCTAAAGGCTTAAGCACACTGACTTAATTTCTCTTCCTGACCAATATTCCCACTGAAAGCATCAAAGACAGATGTGTGCAGCAGGATAAACCTCACATATTTTCCTTATGCACTTACCCCTTCTTCCCATTTCCAAAAATAGAACTGGGCATGGGATTTGTTTTGAAATAGATGTTGGATGCCCGTAAAAAAAGTAAAATCTGCTTCTGTTTTGTGAAATTTGAAGCCAATCAAAGTACTTAGCTAGGAGTTCTAGCCAAATGGAGGAGGAAGGAGAATTAAGAAGTCTTGATGGAAAGGAGACTGAGATGTAAAGGAAGCTGATCCACACTCTCAAAACCCAGGGGAGAATGCGAGATCAAGGTGGCAAGGTATCAAACATGAGTCTAAAGTTAGCTGGATGTGAGGCCCCACTTTGCAAACTTCACCTATGTTTATTCATTTAATCCTCAGAGAAATAATTTGAGATCAAGTACTAGAAGTTATTCTTCATAAATGAAAAAAATTGAGAGAAAGTGAGATTATATAAGAGCCAAAGCCACACAACTCATAGTAGAGGCAGTATTTGATGCAGAATTGCTTACCTCCATTTGCCCTTGGCCTCACCTGCATTCCTTTTTCACTGATAATGACTGCATGGGAGTCTAAGTTCCTCACTGTCATGGCACTGAATAAAACTCCAGAAATGTGTCTTTCTAAGGGTGATGGTATTTGAGTGGGTGGTGATTGTTAGAGTTGACATTGAATTGTTTGCCATCCTTCTGCAATGGGGGCTCCAGGGCATAATTATGTCAATTGAAAAAAAATTTAAAAATATATTTTAAACACTTGCAGATAGTTAATAGTATGCAGGAAACATGAGGACTGTAGGCAGGATATAATACAAAATGAACGGGATCTGATGAAAGGTCAACAAATCCATCATTTTCCATATTCAAGACACCATTTGACTTCAGGAACACATGAAGAAGATTTCAATAGATCATGCTGCAGAATATCTGCCACTAGAGATAAGGAAATTGCTGGAGTAGTGAGGATCTTGATCCAACTATATATCCTTGGGGAAGGTCACCAGGAACTTGAGATAACACATTGCAGGGATACTGCATCATTGGTATATGGCTGCTTATATTTGGAGCAGATAAACTTGCTAGACAATGAGGTGTGGGGTTTTGCTTGCTTGTTATTTTTTATTTTTCTAACAGAAAAGTTCAACCAAGCCTCTGAGCAAACAGGAGCAGTGCCCTATCCAACTTTGTGGCACAACCAAAATGGAGAAGACACATGTCACGCTTTCTGCCATGACTGCATGGTTGTCAGTTCCCTTTTAAATTTTCTTAGATTTGAGGGCTGTTTCTGAACCACAAAGGAACATTAAGATGAACAGAACTTTTTTTGTTTCTACCTCATTTTATTCTAAATAATTCAAACCAAAACAAACCCAATCTCTGGGATGACCTTTCCAAAACATCAAGGAAACACAAGCACATTGGGTGAGCAAGAAACAAAGTATTGCTGAGTCTAAAGGAAGACAGGCAACTGTAGAGAGGGGAAAGTCATGAGTAAGGGAAAAGTTACTGTCATCTTGGGGATATCCCTGAACTTGGGGGGGGGTGTTTATTCATATTAGATATACAATATCATGACATTGTCAGATTGCTTTTTCTGAGGCCTCTCAATGTGGTTGGTACATCAGCATCTTCCTCCTAAGCCTTTACGTGGCCTTTCCTCTATGTTGTTCTATCCCTGGCTTGTAAATCTATGTAAAATTGTCTTGAATTCCTTCTGTGACCAATTGTAGTTCCCCCTGATTTTATAGCTTCTGAATGTCCAAGAGTTTCCAAGCATCTGTTCCAATGCAGATTTACATTACATTATTTGCTGGCTCTAATATGTTAGCTCTAATTTAACACATAACATTTGGTTTTCCCACTTTTAAACATACAGAAAAGCAAACGTAAATAAAATTGATTAAACAAATATCCACATGCTAAAAAATATGCTGGAGGCCCCAGGGGGGTCACAATGAGTATCTCAGAGCTTTCTGTCACCTCCTGGATTCTCTCTACTTCTCTTCCAAGTTACAATTCAACAATCATCTTTATTTCTTTAGCTTCTAAACCACACAAAATATTTTCCAGCAGAGTCTTCTGTCTGGGAGAAATTCTGTGCCAGCTGTTCAGAGAAACAAGTTTTTCACCTTAAATGAAAAATATGCTGGCTGATGTAAAAGCTATAATGGAGAGAGTTAGAGAATATGGGATACTGTGGAAACCCACATGAGTAAATTAAATGTTATATTTAAGAAAACTCTCATAAAATACCTAACAAAAAGGAAAAGAGAACATAAATTATAACAGCCAGGAAGGCACATGGGAAATGCTACAGAATACTGTTAGTAGTCTAGATTCAGGTAAGGAACAAGATAAAAAAAAATATCAAGAAGTAATAAAACAAATCTTCCTGGGTTGAAGGAACACTGAGTCTAGAGATCAATATGGCTTAAAAAAACTCACAGGAAATGCAAATATGAGAGAACTTCAACTTTGTGTTTATATCTTGTAGGAAGTTCTTAATTTTTGAGGATACAGTTAACATACAAACATTTCTAAGCATTTATAGACAAACAAATAATGTGTTCGGTTCACAATGAAAAACATTATCCATTTTGGGCAGACTTCTCTTCTACATCAGTAACGTCAGACAGCTACTGGACAATAGTATAAACACAGTATGGGGGAAGGATATTCATATTCATATATGTACAGGGTACCCAAAAAGTTTGTGTGCAATTTAAATTACACATAATGTATGTGTAGATACATATATATGTAGACACGTATCTCTATTGTCTTATATACATTTATTTTTTAAATTTTAAAATTTACTCTGTAGCAGCAGAAGTTGCCAGAAATATAAAGATTTCAAAATGCCACTTAACCTAAAAAACAAACAAAAAAATTCTCAAAAATGTACTCCAAATGAATAAGAAATTAGTTTAATAAAACGTTCACAATAAATATAATTAAAAATAAGCAAGCAAAGGATGAATCTATTTCTGGAGAGACAGAGTAGGAATAGTACTCTCTACCCATCCTACAATTAAAAACACCAGGGAGAAGAAGGCAGACTGGCAAGGGACGTTGGCACTCATGGAATGACATCGCAGTGAGTTTTCTGGGTTTGCCTTGTGATTTCAATATACCAGGCTTGATACTGGAAAAGCCAGCAACCTGAAAACACCAATAGATACAGAAAAAAAAAAGCCACATCAAAAACCTGTTCCTCACTAGTAAAGGATCAGATGAGAGGCAGCTCTGTGAGACAGAAAGCATTTAGAAAATAATGATGTTACTCCATTCAAATTCCACATGAAAAATCCCATAGCCCTATCCACACCTAGGTCAACAAATGTCCATTGTGGAAACTCAACTTCCACTCTCTTTAGGTTGCAGGAGCTCCCCAGCTTCTCCCCATGTACGTGGATCAGAAAAGTCTGAGCAGTGAGCCAGAACTTTGATTCTCATTGAGTTGCACAGGTCTCTGCCTTTGTGTGAGTATCATGGGTGAATCCTGTACTTTCACTTCCATTTGAGGGTTAGGAGCTATAACCCCTTACTCAGTATGAACCAGTCAGGGGTAAGATTTTACCACCACTCAAAACTAAAGAGAATCCCCTGCTGCCTCCAGTTGCCAACAGAGGCCAACCAGAGAATCTGAACATTAAACTAACAACAATGAGAAGAATTGCCTCTTCTGCAGGAGCAATGTCAGAGAAGGCCAATTAAAGCAATATTTAGATGAGATTTAGAGTCTCAAATAGATTCACATATGGATAGCCAGTTATCTACAATTTATTTTTAAAATTCTCTTGACCCCCAAACCAGACAAATTTCAACTTGAATGAGAAATAATCAACAGATACTAATATTGAGATGATTTAGATGCTACAAGTATCTGATAAGAAAAATTATCCATCATAAAATTATCTCTACAAGCAATTATGACAAACTTGACCGAAATAAAAAATAGAAGAGTTCAGGGAATAAATGGTATTATTTATATCAAAAAGAACCATAAAGAGAGAGAAATCAAAATTATGCTTTCTGAAAAACAGAAAAAAAAATAGTATGAAAAAAATTAAAACAGAGAGCCTCACAGAGCTCTGGGACTATTCGAAAAAAGATTACCAGTCAGAT